CGTGTTCATTTTCCTGCCATTATGCAAAGCATTTAAATAATGTAAAATGATGAAGGATGTTATAATAATACTTCCTTTATATCACAACACAAGCATTTTTTTAAATGTTGAAAATTGTAAGAAGTACTGGATAACAGGAATGATTATACAACTACTGTTTCCACAATAAAGATAAATTCCTTTTTGTTTTGTTTTAAATCTAGTTTTTAAACGCATTAAATAAACTCTTTGTATTCATATTGGTTTCCGTTTTTCAGAAAATGTCATGTGGAGTGAATATCAAACAGAAGCAATAACATTATCTTCACACCTTGAACAGATGTGAACGTACAGATCTTAATCATTATCTTTAATATGTAGGCTAAGTGTTTAAAATTCGTTTTCAAGGTTAAAGTGTTTTAATGCGTTTTTAAACAGATATCAAGAATTATACATGTATAAATATCATTGGCTTTCGGGGAGTCACAGCTCAAAATGATAACCTTGCCTCGTAATTAAAAGGTCAAATGACCTGATATTTTGGAGATTTGTATCATTTGAGATATTTTACTTTATGCCAACCAAAATGATCAAAATTCATTTTAATTCAGAACCATATTTACTAACAAGCGTGACTCTCGCGTACTTCATAATACAGCTTACACACAGTATTTAAGCCAGTGATGTAATAAAGAAATAAATCCGTATCAAACCGTTTCTCATCTTGCAATATCGTCTTTTTTAATACGGCTGAAGTCAAAAGTTTACATACACCTGGCAGAATCTGCTAAATGTGGATTATGTTACCAAAATAATCATACCAAATGGTAAATTTATTCTATGATGCATATGCAGGCCTATTTTCATATTTAATCAGCAATATTTGAATTGAAGACATAATAGCCACACTATGAACGCACGCTTACACCAAGGGTCCAATTTTCTCTTTTTTACTGAAGTATTAAAACGACAGCTTTTACTCCAAAAACTAATAATAATAATAACAATGTCCACAAATCCCTCATTAACAAACAGACAAAAAATTCATAATCAACTTAATACAATATCATAGATAAATATATTCCAGAGACACAAAGTGATCTGTCTGTAAACACATAATTCACCAGAATAATACCCGGATTTCAAAAGTACTTCTTAATATCAGTTATAGTCAATATTTTCGTCTGCAGATTATTATAATATTTCCTACTTTACTTCATTTGAAGCTTATAACACACTTTCTAGATTATGTGGACACTAAAGCATATAGTATAAAGTATTTATGGTATTGTGATATTACAATAACTGTGTATGATTGGCAAGGACACCAGCGATATCTGTACAAGCGCTGAAACAATGTGTATATTAAGAGCATTTATGCTAATGCTACAAAGCTCTTGTATTGACGGACAGACGCCAGCAACACGATGCCTGTGAAGCCCGCAGACGGTCAAAACTAACACACCAGACAACTACACACATAAACTATCACGTTTATGACTTTATATATACATTTACATCTCCTCTTACCTTTAGAGTGGCTTCACATCATATGCGTTACAGTACAGTTTAACACTTAATTAACAAACATCGCGGATGGCGTTTCCGGTCGCTCTGTGAGTAGCTTCCGGTGTTTTTTGAACAGAAGCGCACACTCATCAGGAACGACCCTCGCACGCGCTCACTGTCACTGACGACGATGGTGTGTTCTCCAGATCGAAGCATTCTGAGCATGCGCAGAAGCGAGACGGGCTAGCTACCGAAACTCCTCTCGTGATTGGTCGGCAGAGCTGTCAGTCATCTAAACACGCCCCGTGATTCATAATCTATTAGTTTTCCCGTTAGTCGTCGCCCACTGCCGGAAAACACTGAGCTCTGCAGCCAATGGCAGCTCGCGCTGGCTCAGCGTAGTTACACAGAGAGCACAATTAAATTGAGCCACAGACATTTTAGTGCTGTTTTTGGGGCATGTTCTCAATATGAAAACTTGCTTCGAAGGGCGCTATTATTAGCGTATTATTATCGCTGTGAGCTCAGCACCTTTGATGTTGTAACAGTATTTACTGGCATCACTGCACTTTTGTTTCTGGCAAGCTTTAATATTTACTAGGCCTAAATATAGATGTCTGCGACAAATCTTCTGCGTTCATCAGAGAAAACAAGTCAGAAAATAGTAATAGAAATTTATAAATTAATATTTCTGGAATTTAATAATAAAAAAAAAACTTTACAGTCAATCTTAGTGTTGGCAAAATGGTGATTTTCTTTCTTTCCTACAGGTAATTTTAGGAGAAACATCTAATATATATATATATATATATATGTATAGATTCAAAAAGTTGATACTGAGATGCCAATAACAGCCTAGTAAAGTCCGGCCTTTATAAGAGCAATTTCTGAGTAATATACAATTGCATTTTCTTTGTGAGACAAAATTAAAGTTATGTAGTTATGTGTATTTGGAATTAACTCTGCTATTGCCTTTTCATTTCGCAATTACGTCTTCTGAATATTAAAATAATGAATGCTGCTGATGTATTTAAAGCTGAAGAAAAAATATTGTGTAGACAGACACCTACAAGTCATCTCTGTGCCACTGAAAATCTCCCAGGGGATATAAACATACATCTTATTATAAAGAGTGCTGCTGTACAAATCTGCTTCTATCCCGTGTCTTTATATATGTGGATATTTATTTGTCTGCAGATATCATCCACATAAATTGCTGAACCCTCACCTCAACTATTCATATTTATCCAAAGCAGCAGTTATCAGTTTGTGTCGCTCACCCTATACTCTAGAGCAGGGATCCTCAAATCTGGCCCACGAGATCCACTTTCCTGCAGAGTTGAGCTCTAACCCTAATCAAACACCTGAGCATGCTAATCAATGTCTTCAGGATCATTAGAAAATCACAGGTAGCTGAGTTTGATCAGGGTTGGAGCTAAACTCTGCAGCGCATTGGACCTCCAGGGCAAGATCTGAGGAACCCTGCTCTATATCATATCTATTCCCTATGTTGTACCTTTAGAAACGGGGCCAGTACCAAAAAGCTTGTTGAACACACTAACAGGACTGGTTCTGAGTTGACAAAACCAAACAAATCTAACCCGGTTTAAGTGGTCCCGCTACACTTGATTCACACTTTCTCTGCCCTGAGTTTGTTTAGTTCACGATTTTGATGTAATGTAACACAATTGACTTCTTAGCTGCTGATGAAGAAATCATTATGAACAAAATAAAGAAACTACGCATATTTACACAGCAAGCGAATGCACTGCTGCTTGAAGCTATATCTAAATAACAATAAATAACTAAATAACAATCCATACGACCTGTTTCTCGTGAGTCATATATCCTCAGACCTCTGCAGTCCACTAGTAATTTGGCTTCCTGAAGAGTGTAAACACTATGGCACTGTCGAAGCCTGTCTGGTTTTGTGTGATTCATCTCAGATAATGCAGCCTGCTCCTTCTGCAGAGTTCATCTCAAACCCCAATAAAACACACCTGAAGCAGCTGATCAACGGTTAGGCCTGCTTGGAAATTGTAATTTATTACTGATTTCAAATTACATGAGAAAAATGGTAATGTAATCCATTTTAGCTAATAATAATCAGTAATATGCTACTTAATCAGCTAATATACTACTTTTTGATTACTTTTAGTTTCGAAAAAATTTTTTTTTTAATTTAAATTGATTTGAATAGGATAATGTGCACCATACTGATATAAAAATACAAAGAGAGAGAAAAAAATTCCAGTCATTGCATTACGGTGACATTATTACATCGTTACAAAATTACATTATGATTTTCCAAACTGGGATTTGTGAAGAAAGATTAAAAAACAAAAAACTAACAAATAAATGCTGTGTGGCCTCTCAGTTTTCTGTGTAATTATAGCCACCTTACTAGAGACTGGAAGACCTTCTGAATGTAAATGTGACCTTGGACCGCAAAACCAGTCATAAGCGTCAATCTTTTTTTTTTTAATTAAGATTTATACATCAACTATTTGAAAATCTGGAATCTGAGGGTGCAAAAAATCTAAATAGTGAGAAAATCGTCTTTAAAGTTGTCCAAATTAAGTTCTTAGCAATGCATATTACTAATCAAAAGTTAAGTTTTGATATATTTACGGTAGGAAATTTACAAAATATCTTCATGGAACATGATCTTTACTTAATATCCTAATGATTTTTGGCATAAAAGAGAAATGGATAATTTTGACCCATACAATGTATTGTTGGCTATTGCTACAAATATCCCCCAGAGACTTAACACTACTTTTGTGCTCCAGGGTCACAAATAAACAGTACGCTACTATAGAAAAGTGCATTTAAAAGATGAAAAAGAAGACTTAGGGAGAATCTATAAATTATGTATAATTTACTGCTATTGTGTGAATAATATGTAATCATGCAATCAATATAAAAGTAACTGTAGTCTAATTATAATATAATCTAATTACAAGTACTTAATGTTTGGAACTGGATTTTGACGTAATCAGTTACTATCCAGCACTGCTAATCAGGTGTTCAGGGCTGTGTGATAATTACAGGCAGGTGTGGAGCTGAAGTCTGATGGGCTGGGGACCCCTGCCTTACTGAAACTGGGTGCAGTTGTGTGTATTTTTGTGACTTTGGAGCCCCCTACAGTTAAGTGACTACCAGTCATAACTATACCACATTCATAATTACAGTGGAAAGCTGCACATGAGTATTTGTTACCCAGTCACCAGACTTACACGCTCCCAGAACAGACATTTGAGGGAGACCAAAGTCAGTGTACCATCAGAATGATTTGGAAACCGGTATTTCAAGGTACAAAACTTACATCCACTTGCTTTAAATTATTATAAGGTAAAGAGTATTCCCTCTTACAACATTTAAGTTAATGTTTTGACTTTATGACTCTATTATCATACTGACTATATATTTGTATCACAGCAAGTTATCACAGTTCCATACTTCAACAATCTCCTTTATTAATAGTAAACAATAAGCTTAAAGTGTTTAAATGTTAAAATTTCAACCATTTGCATACCATAAAAAAGATCACAGTTGTAAAATTGTATGAAAAACGGCCTTGTTAAGACTTTGTTTTATCAAACAGCATCCTCGTGATCTAAATAAATCCAGATGACCCATGAAAAGCTGAACAGTGTTACAGTTCCGGCAGATTTCCATCAGTTTCTGTTGTCAGAGAGATTCTGGGTTGTGAGCGGAGATGGGCTGCGTTTTCTCTGTGGAGGAATGGCAGGAAGAACTTGAATGTTTCGTAAAGGCTCTCCTGTCAGCGGCGTCGGGAAGGAGACGAGCGACTGGCTTTGAGGAATGCCGGCTCGGTGCAGTTTGGATGCAAACGGAGGGGAAAGTACAGCCAGGCCCGCTCCTAAAGAGGATTTCGACTTCTTCACTCCCTGAGAGACCTGGTCGGGTGGCAAGGAAACTGTGGACGACATTTGTTAAACCGAAGATGTGAGCGATGCTCATGTTCAGAAAAAATACCAGTTGGGAGCGTATCATATTTATTAATGGATGCTAATATTGTTTTATCATGCAGGGAAGACTGGGAAGTGTTGTAATACATTTCATTTCAATGTCAACAAATTTGACCCATTTTAATAATAAACATTAAGACAGCAAAACAACAAATACCATAATAACATAGATGAGTTCTATCATTTTAAATAGCTGTCTTTGGTCAATCTTTTCTTGAGCATTATGAACAGGGGATTGCATTGCATAGTCTTATGAAGCATGAAAGCATTATATTAGGATATAAGGATTAAACTTACATCTGTGAGTGCAGTGGTCACGGATAGGAGCCAGACTGTTACGTGTGAGAGCAGATTCTCTGACCCTCAGAGGAAAGAGATGATTGTGAGCTGCTCAGAGAAGACGACACAGAATTCTGAATTTTACAAATATACATGTCATACGGGACTAATTCACTGATTTATATCTAGGTGATTCTTCAGACTCTTGACTATTTAAAAACAATAATACTGAAACAAAAATTCACAGTCTGCAAATAATGTCATTTTAATGAAATGAAAGCCCACTTTACATCTTCATGACTGTTTCTTACCACACTTAAGCAGACTTTTACTTTGAAGTACATTTTAAATCATTATGTGTTAATAATCTTTGGCTTAAAGAATTGCACTTTTAAAAAAAATTATTTTACCTGAAGTGTGTTACTTTATTTTACATTTCATATGTTTTAACTCTACTGTATTGCAACATTACTGTAAGCATGTTTCAAAGACATCAGAAGTATTGTAATTTATATGGATTGAAATACAAGTCGCACTTAAGCGGGTCACAAAAAGTTGAGCTAATTCCATTTTATATAAATGTAAATAATCATGCATTTGCATTTAATTGTAGTTAACATACTTGCATAAGTGTCAGATTTACACACTGTAAAAAATAATTGTTTCAACTTAAAAAAAAAGTTTGTGTTCTTGCTGCCTCAAAATTTTAAATTTAGCCCAAATTAGTGAAATTCTGCCAAACGCCTAAAAACTAGGCAAAACTAACAGATGTGGTAAGCAGTTCAGAACCATTAGCTATTATAATAATTGTATAGTCTTTTAAAACTTAGGTCAAATTAATGAATTAAAATAATCCTAGGAGTCAAACATGTTGACCTAATAATTGAAGAATCACCTAACACCTAAGCAATATTAGATATCTCACCTTGGTCATATCTCTGTATGTATGGCGTGTGACATGAACTGAGAAATCTAAATTCCCTTGATCTTTTGACATATAAGCGGTCATTTTACTATAAAAACATCCTGAAAGTTTCAGAACTCTTCAAAAACGTTCTCATCAGTCTAAAAACAGCTTATATTGAAGCCAATCTGCCAAAACGACAGCTTGTGGAATGTGCCACTTTATGATGTAATAGTGTGGCTCAACACTGCCTCCGCAGAGGAAGATAAACGCCTGCTTCTACATCACTGCCTGTTTAGCCCCGCCCACCGATTCTACATCACTGCCTGTTTAGCCCACGCCCCCCCATTTCTACATCACTGCCTGTTTAGCCCACGCCCCCCCATTTCTACATCACTGCCTGTTTAGCCCACGCCCCCCCATTTCTACATCACTGCCTGTTTAGCCCACGCCCCCCCATTTCTACATCACTGCCTGTTTAGCCCACGCCCCCCCATTTCTACATCACTGCCTGTTTAGCCCACGCCCCCCCATTTCTACATCACTGCCTGTTTAGCCCACGCCCCCCCATTTCTACATCACTGCCTGTTTAGCCCACGCCCCCCCATTTCTACATCACTGCCTGTTTAGCCCACGCCCCCCCATTTCTACATCACTGCCTGTTTAGCCCACGCCCCCCCATTTCTACATCACTGCCTGTTTAGCCCACGCCCCCCCATTTCTACATCACTGCCTGTTTAGCCCACGCCCCCCCATTTCTACATCACTGCCTGTTTAGCCCACGCCCCCCCATTTCTACATCACTGCCTGTTTAGCCCACGCCCCCCCATTTCTACATCACTGCCTGTTTAGCCCACGCCCCCCCATTTCTACATCACTGCCTGTTTAGCCCACGCCCCCCCATTTCTACATCACTGCCTGTTTAGCCCACGCCCCCCCATTTCTACATCACTGCCTGTTTAGCCCACGCCCCCCCATTTCTACATCACTGCCTGTTTAGCCCACGCCCCCCCATTTCTACATCACTGCCTGTTTAGCCCACGCCCCCCCATTTCTACATCACTGCCTGTTTAGCCCACGCCCCCCCATTTCTACATCACTGCCTGTTTAGCCCACGCCCCCCCATTTCTACATCACTGCCTGTTTAGCCCACGCCCCCCCATTTCTACATCACTGCCTGTTTAGCCCACGCCCCCCCATTTCTACATCACTGCCTGTTTAGCCCACGCCCCCCCATTTCTACATCACTGCCTGTTTAGCCCCCCCCACCGATTCTACATCACTGCCTGTTTAGCCCCGCCCACCGATTCTACATCACTGCCTGTTTAGCTCCACCTCAGATTCACTCGCATAGTAGGTAAATGACAAGAGCGGCAAACGCAGGTCTACGCAGAAACCAAATGCTAAACTTTATTTGATTAACTTTATTTTCAATTAAGTGCCAGACAAGTAAGAACTTGGTCCTTTGTTCACTTAATTTTACCGTGGATTCATTTACAAACAAGCCACAATTTGACGCAGGATTTTCAGAAAGATTGAAACTAAAAGACAATGCTGCGTCGACGATCTTGGATCCGACAGTAATGTCGCAACACACAAGTGTGAGTAACTTAAACTACGTTTTTATTCCGTGACCACTATTGCTTTGTCTGTTAATGGTTTGACATGTACTGAGTATTTATGTGTTTTTAACCTAAATCACAGCAGTATACATCTATGAAGGATGTAGGCTGTCAAACATATACACAACTATTAGCCAATCATAACAGTGGGCGTTTACTTCTGAGTCTACAATCCGCCATGCCTATTCAAACAGAGCATTCTGATGAGGCGGGTCAAAACCAGAACAGAAAATAGCCTTTTACCGCTAAATTATGCTGTTTTTTGATGTACAAAAAACAAAGGCAATTCATGAACCCTTTAAACAAACACACCTGTGTTGCTGCACTTGGGAGGGGTATGGCCCAGAGGAGACATCCCGCTCTCTATTCACCTGCTCTATGTCGACAAAAGTGCCAACTTAAATATATGTTTTTGCTTTCCAACAAACAACAACAAACCTGTTTTCAGTGGAGAGGAGTTTGATGCATGCAGTATGACCGCAGTACATGGCGTATGTGAGTGGCGTATTCTCATTAATATCTCGAGGGTTGGGCTCCACTCCCAGCTCCAACAATACCTGCACACAGTCATCTTTCCCTGCTGCAGCAGCCCAATGAAGAGGGGTCCTGACAGAAAAACAGATATAACGTTGTACAATAATGAGAAACGAAACTTGAAAACACAAAGTTTAGTAATGCATGAAGTATAAGTTAAATAATGCCTATTAAGCACTACAGTTTGTCCTATTTGACCCTCTGGTAAACAAAATAATGATTAGCACTCCACATGCTGACAAACTAATGTGAATGTCACAATGTTGCTGTACCGTTCATCCACGTCTAAAGCTTGCAGGTTGGTCTCAGGAAAGCGAGACAGTTCATAGATGATGTCGCTGAAACCCGCAGCAGCGGCTATGTGAACGCAGGTCTTCCCGTTCTCATCATCGTAATTGATCACAGAGGCACCCAGATGATGCTCAAGAATGAGAGAACACATTAACCGGCTGCCGCTCTGCCAAAGAGTTGAAAACAATGAGACATATACTGTAAATGAATAACCAACTTGCAATGTACATACTGTATATCAACCATGTTTCACAATTAATTTTTAAGACATAAATTGTATTACGTGATGGAAGTAAGTATATGCGTGTCAGTGAAGAGCGTCAGTGAATGAAATATCACAGTCTTGCATTGTGCTTTGAAAACGGCAGTGAATAGCCTAGATTTATGCTTTCAGTTCAATTAGAAATCTTATAGAGTATTACAGTTTGTCGATATAAAATGGTAATTGTGCATTAACAGCCGTCAACGATGTCAGTACAAAAATGAGCGGTCTGAACTTATTTACACAGCGCAGTTTTTATTTCGGTCATGCATGCGCACCTGCACACCATGTATGTGAACCCCTGACTATAATATACCTATACAATACAGCATGTAACCAGGCCCAGACAAACACTACAGAGAGACTGCATTTTAGGAGAATTGCATTTTCTCTCTGACTTGGTATGAAGTTAAAACATGTGTTCAGTGGAAGTAAGAGTACTAGACCCTTAATAATAGCTGAAAGTATAATTACTGTAAAAGCCAAGATTACATGTAAGGGGTGTTTGAATTCTGTGGCGCTTTTAAAGCACATAACGCACAATAGTAAATGTGTCTTGACCAATTTGTTACAGTAAATTGACTTAATTGTGGTTCAAATTAAGTCAAGTTATGCAAGGACCATCTTTAGAAATGTTACAATGTGTGATATTTACTAGTAATTTTGTATGACTGCTATACTGTAAATATGATCATTGTCAGTGGCAATGTACTGGTAATACATACTTCTTGAATTATTCTCTGTGATCGCTCTTTTCTCATATCAACACACTATAGAACAGCTCGTTGGTGCTAATTTACAGTAGAAACTATAGAAAAGATGAGCTGTTTGTAGATAGAAGCTCAGTACAAAAAAAACGGTGTGACTTTTTAATTGAACAGACAGAAGCAGAGTCATCATAGAAAAAATAGAATATGTTGTATGTAAGAATTTGTTGTATGTAGTAGAATGATGTGTTTGTTTGGGATTTGTACCTGCACAGCCCAGTGAAGAGCTGTTTTGAAGTCTTTGTCCACAAGCGTGGGGTCGGCTCCTTTCTGCAGCAGGGCCTGCACATGCTCGGGCCGGTTATGGAAAGAAGCCCAGTGGAGGGCCGTCATTCCCTGCCAATCACAGTCTGAGGGTTACCCAGATGCACCCTACCAAGTATTGATGACTGTTACTTCCTAGTAGGGTTGCAGAATTCTGGGATTTTTCAAAGTTTTCATGGGAACTAATGGCAATATATGGGAATTAATGTGAATAAACTGGAAATTTGCAAAATTGCAGGTTAGCCTATAACAGGGAACTTAAATGTAGTTAAAAAAAATGAGTTAATCTTGGTTACAAAAACCAGATTTAATGCAAATTCAGTAGGATTTCTACCCTGTGCATTCCCTGTGCACAATTACATTTATTCATTTAGCAGACACTTTTATCCAAAGTGACTTACAATCGAGGGATACAACAAGCGATTCATTACAAAGAGGCAAATAAACGCAGGAAGTGCTCATAATGCAACGTTTCAGGCATTGTTAAGATTAGTACAAGCTAGACAGGGGGATTAAGGAAATAGAAACACTATTACAGCCATTCTGCATTTGAGCCCAAGGACTACATCCACTCAAGTAGGCTTTGCTTATATTACTGTGATATTACTATTATAGTATGATATTATACATAATGGGAGTATTTGCTGTACTGCTTGTACTACTGTATGAACTCTAGTTCATACCAGTGCTATTTTCATGGGTCATCTGTCTTTCCATAAAAATGCATCATTAATATAAATGGCATTATCATCTCAAAATGGTTACTGACTGGGTGTTAAATGCCCTCTGAGGACTTCAGTGTTAGTTTTATGGTGAACAAAGGTTCTTTGTGGTGAAAGAAGGTTCTTCAGATTACAAAAAGGTAAGAAAGAGATGGTTCTTTAAAGAACCTTTGACTGAATGGTTCTTTGTGGAACCAAAAATGGTTCTTCTATGGCATCGCTTGAAGAAACTTCTGAAGCACCTTTATTTTTAAGAGTGTAGACGCAATTATAAAAAAGCAATAATATAAAAGCGTTTCATAAAATGAATACGTTTCTGAAGCTTTAAGTTATCTACAGTAAAATAATAAAATAATGTTCTCATATCAATGTCATATCCATTCTTTACATTCACCCTTCAAAAACAAATGAAAAGACATAAGTTCATGAATAACATTAAATAAAGTGAAATGAATAAAAGATATTTAGAATGAGATTCACTCACTGTTTTGTCTGTTGTGTCTTCACTAACGTTCATTAAAATGTTCCTTTTGGCACAAAGCAGTGACTTTGATTTGTTCAAGTGAACTTTCTCTTGCAAGAAAGACGTGCACTTATAGCAAGCTTTCAAAAAGAGCACTTACTATAGAAATAATATCCTAATATACTTAAACAAAACAATATTTATCAGACGCTTTATTGCATATTAATTACAATTTAATTATACTGTATTACAGTTAAAAATGTGTATTGAAATGTTATTAGCTGAACTTTAGAGTGCTTTTGGACTCACCTAAGTAGGACTTATGTACATGATATGTAATTTCATAATTAGGGGCCAATTATGAGGCACCTATTGTATCTGTTAGTTTTCTTCTGCTCAAGTCTATGCCAGCCCATAGAACCACTTGCGGGAAAGTTATGAAATTTGGTACACAGATAGAGGACAGTCTCTAGTATAACTTCTGAACACTTTGACCTAAGATTGATCTCTTTAGATTCGGTACAGCATACCGAATCGAAAGGTACCCAATTTCCTATGTTGGCCATTTTGGCCATTGACCATTTTCAGTTTTGTAGTAAAATGCAGAATTTAATGAAACGGATTAAATATTACCCACAGCTAATTTGAAGTCTCATCTAAAACTTTCTAGCTCCACCAACAGGCCAAATGTGCACTCATGTCCAACCCTAATAACTTTTGAACCGTACGGGCTAGAATCAGCTTTTTTTAAAATTCCGATCACTTGGCTCATGCCAAATAGCCCCTTATGATGCCATTTCCTGTTATTAAAATTTTCCAGCCAATTTGAATTTTCCGAAAAATACACCTTTCCTAAATAAAAATATCTTTGTATTCTTTTAAACTAAAGATGCGGCTATCGTCTCATAACCCTCTCACACAAGTACCTAGACTTGCTACTGCAGTACATGCATGCACAGACATGCTGCTGTGAGCATGTAAGAAATACTGCTGCTGCACATACTATAACGTATTCTATAAAATATCCCCATATGTAACATACATGAAATCACCCCATAGCCCATCTATACAGGTGGAGCTGGGGAAGGAGGAGGGTTTCTGAAGCGCACTGCTACAGCAAACACTGGCTGAGTATTTGAATGTTGAGCAGCAATCTCATTGGCTGCTGATGTGAAAAGAAACCAATCAGCTGCACCATGTGAATAATGATGCCATTATAGAACATCTTAGAACATCTAGAGTTTCATGACAGAACTTTGCATTTCTTTTTTTTTAAATGTATAGTATATAAAATATACTTTTAAGATTTGAATTGCGCTACACATGCACAATCATTACTATAATTCTTCTTATTTAAAAGGGTTTTACAAAGCTGAAACTCAAATGACTGAGTACATCTGCTCTGACTCACCTCATTGTCTTGATGGTTGATTTCACACAGTGTCAACTGCTGTAGCAGCACAGCCATGAGCCTTAAACAAACAAACAAAAACATGATTATTACTCTATAAATGCTGCAAACACCATTTTGCTTTCATAATATAACAGCGAACCAGGTAATCAACAAGAAAAAAATAAGGATAAAAAAAGAGGGATTGGTGAATAATGTGCACTGATGAACGTTAGGAAAGTAAATGAGATTCATTTTTGGCTTCATGTTGACTGTAACAACATATCTTACTATTCTGTGTTGACAACAGTCCCTAGTAAAAAAGTCATATATTTAAAATACATTTCATAGTTCAAATCTATTAGCATATTTACTGACATATTATTTGAGACTTTGTTCATATTTGTTAATTTTAAGCCTAAAATGTGTTTTTGCAAAACTCAACACCTCAGTGCTAGAGTTGTGGATGGCTGCTGGGCCTTTCTAAGTGGCTGGTTGCTTGGCATAGCAAAATATCCCACCCTTAATCACATTTTGTAAAGCACACCTCTTCTTAACATGCTGCATGATTTGATGTAATACTCATGTGAGTAGCATAAACAAGTTAGGGTCAAGGGTTTGTTCTAATTGGTCACCCAAACTGTAAGTAACAGTAATAATTGCCTTGGCAAACACCACTAATAACACAATAATTCTCATCCACTTGCATTTGAAACACCACACCTTTATTATCAGGACAGGTGTGATGTTTCAACTTGTGAAAACAGAGGTCAACTTTAGCATACTTAAAAAAAAAGAGTACTTAGTAGGGAAATAATATGCTTTCAAAGAATAGAAAGAAAGGGATAGTCCACCCAAAAAAAGAAACATTTCTATACTATAGAAGTCAGTGGCTACCAGAAACTGTTTGGTTATGAGTCCATAATCTATAAAAACGCTTTCTCCGGTGAAATATCCATCTCCTGTTGTCTCTCACATCAAAATCAACCCACATATTTTTGTAAAGCACACCTCTTCTTAACATGCTGCATGATTTGATGTAATACTCATGTGAGTAGCATAAACAAGTTAGGGTCAAGGGTTTGTTCTAATTGGTCACCCAAACTGTAAGTAACAGTAATAATTGCCTTGGCAAACACCACTAATAACACAATAATTCTCATCCACTTGCATTTGAAACACCACACCTTTATTATCAGGACAGGTGTGATGTTTCAACTTGTGAAAACAGAGGTCAACTTTAGCATACTTTAAAAAAAAGAGTACTTAGTAGGGAAATAATATGCTTTCAAAGAATAGACAGAAAGGGATAGTCCACCCAAAAAAGAAACATTGCTATACTATAGAAGTCAGTGGCTACCAGAAACTGTTTGGTTATGAGTCCATAATCTGAGTCCAAAAATCCGTAAGATTTGTATTGTTTTTTAAAGAAGTTCTTATGCTCATCAAGGCTGCATTTATTTGATCAAAAATACAGAAATTTTAAATAAGAGTTTTCTATTTTAGTATACTTTAAAATGTAATTTATTCCTGTGATGCGCAGCTGTATTTTCAGCATCATTACTCCAGTCTTCAGAGTCACATGATCTTCAGAAATCATTCTGATACACTGATTTATTATCAGTGTTGGAAATGCTTAATATTTTGGTGGACCTGTGATACTTTTTTTCAGGATCCTTTGATACATATAAAAAGTTAAAAAGAACAGTGTTTATTCATTTATTCTTTTTTAAAATAAATTCATACTTTTATTCAGCAAAGTGATAGTAAAGACTTATACACTCTTAAAAATAAAGGTGCTTCACGATGCCATAGAAGAACATTTCTGTCTAAATGGTTCCATAAAGAACCTTTAACTAACATCTGAAGAAGCTTTCTGTTTAGTTGTGGCGAAAGAAGGTTCTTCAGATTATAAAAAGATAAGAACGAGACGGTTCTTGACTGAATGGTTCTTTGTGGAACCAAAAATGGTTCTTCTATGGCATCGCTTGAAGAACCTTTTGAAGCACCTTTATTTTTAAGAGTGTACTGTTAGAAAAGATTGAATAAATGCTGTTCTTTTTAACTATTTATTCATCAAAGAATCAAAGATAAAAGTATCACAGGTTCCAAACAAATATTCAGCAGCACAACAGTTTCAACACTGATAATAAATCAGCATATTATACTGATTTCTGAAGATCATGTGACTCTGAAGACTGGAGTAATGACGCTAAAATACATTATATTTCAAAGTATATTAAAATAGAAAACGTGTATTTTAAATTGAAATTATATTTCACAAAATTACTATTCTTTCTGTATTTTTGATCATATAAATACAGGCTTGATGAGCAAAAGAGACTGCACTAAAAACATTAAAAACTTACTGAATCCAACCTCTTGAAAGGCAGTGTAATCTTTTATTGTTCATATTAAGCTTTCATTGTTCAATATTCTTACTTTATGTCAACAACTGGATCCCCCAAATGAATTAACTCCGACCTAAGGAGATATGAAAACAAGTTGATGAAATTAAGTATACAGCTTGAGCAGCCACTGAGAAATCAGATATTGCTTTGGGCTTATGTATGTATTGTCTAGGGTGTGTGTAGGGTGTATATAACACACATAACAACACAGAAGATCCGCTGACAGAGCTGCTATCACAGACCTCATCGACTACAACAGAAAACCCCGGAATTTATCATGAAACATTGTGATGGTGACCCTCACTTCGTGGTTTACAAATCATCAGTCATGGGCACCCTACTCTTCATTCACAAACAGATGGCAGCCCTCACATCACGAAGGCAAATGATGGGCTATGGCAAAACCCGTAGATAAGCAATTACTATGGCAACAGTGGCAGCAGTACTAACCCCTCCTTGTTATCAGTGTGTGTGTGTAGTGCTTTACCTTTATGCAGCTCAAACACAGATGAAGAGTTGAACTCCATAGCAGATCGGATGCAGCCTTTAGAGAAATCCCTCTGGTGCCCACGACATGACGCGTGAGCATCAGTTCCTGGAGGAGGAGGCAGGTGGAGGGGCTGCTCTGTGTGACTGTGCGTGATGTGATGGGAAACACACTGAGCATGTGCAGAAGCTGCACTTCACAGCCTGCTGACAGCAGAGTGTACGGTCTGTGTTCACATCACAACACTGTGTGTGTGTGTGTTGTGTGTGTGTGTGTGTTGTGTGTTCTCAACTCTAGCGGTTATTCCTTCAAACAGCGATTCCCAACCAGGGGGAAGGGGGCGTTCCAGAAGAGAGAGTGTGTGTGTGTGTGTGTGTGTGTGTGTGTGTGTGTGTGTGTGTGTGTGTGTGTCTGTGTGTCTGTGTGTCTGTGTGTGTGTGTGTGTGTGTGTGTGTGTGTGTGTGTGTGTGTGTATGTGTCTGTGTGTCTGTGTGTCTGTGTGTGTGGGAACCAGGGGGAAATTCAACACGTTCTTTCTTTCTTTCTTTTTTGTGTAAAACATGTACTACTAAAATGGGAAAACACTAACCTAAATGATTCTTTATTCTTTTATTATACCTCCTAACTTTTACATTATTCTTTTCTGTTCTGTACTATTCAATATTCTTTCATTATGTTCCATAATATTTTTACATTTTTCTGTTCTATTCTGTTTTGTTCTCTTCTATATTATTATATGTCCCATCCTCATTTTTATTATATTCTTCTAGTCTATTCTATTCCATTCTATTCTATTCTATTCTATTCTATTCTATTCTTATACGTCATATCATAATTATTTACACTATTCTGTTCTATTCTACATTCTATGTCTCATCCAAATTTTTACATTCTTCTGTTCTGTTTTGTTCTTGTCCATTCTGTTATATTCTTATGTCTTATCACAATTTTTACACCATTCTATTCTTGTCACACTCTCTCTAGGGAACGAGGAGACGCTGCAGTTAACACGAATAAGTCTTTAATCATCCAAAGTAGAGACAGGAAACAAGGGAGACATCCAACAAGTATAACCCACAAACACAAACTGAGAGGACTGGGGCTTTTGAACACAGGATAATTGGGAAGACACAGGTGCAAGGAATGACTAATTAAAGGGAACAGGGCACACATGGGGATGAAAACACAATGAAATGAGTCCAGGGGCGTGACAATTCTAGTCTATATTTACTATGTCGTATCCTAATATTTACAGTCTTCTTTTCTGTTCTGTTCTATTCTGTATTCTTTCATTATGTCCCATAATATTTTTTTAATTTTTCTGTTCTACTCTGTTTTGTTCTTGTCAATTCCATTCTGTTCTCTTTTATATTATTATATGTCCCCTCCTAATTTCTACAATATTCTATTCTATTCTATTATTATACGTCATATCATAATTATTTACACTATTCTGTTCTATTCTACATTCTATATTATCTCATCCTAATTTTTACATTCTTCTGTTCTATTCTGTTTTGATCTTGTCCATTCTATTCTATTATATTCTTGTCTTATCACAATTTTTATACCATTCTATTCTATTCTATATGTCTTATCATAATATTTACCTTCTTTTTTTCTGTTCTGTTCTAATATATAATTTTCATTATGTACCATAATATTTTTTACATTTTTCTGTTCTATTCTGTTTAGTTTTTGTTAATTCTATTCTGTTCTCTTCTATATTATTATATGTCACATCCAAATTTCTACACTATTCTATTCTATTAATATATGTCATATCATAAATATTTACACTATTCTATTCTACATTCTATAGTATGTCTCCTAATTCTACATTCTTTTGTTCTATTCTGTTTTGTTCTTGACCATTCTATTCTATTCTTATGTATTATCACAAATTTTCCACCATTCCATTCCATTCTATTCTATTCAATTCTATTCTATACGTCTTGTCCTATTTTTACATTCTTTTTTTCTGTTCTATTTATTCTATATTCTTTCATTATGTCCCATCATATTTTTTACATTCCTGTGTTCTTTTTTATTCTACTCTTGTTTATGTCTAATCAAAATGTTTACATTCTTCTGTACTTTCAGTTCAGTTAGGTTCTATAGGATGTACTGTGTTGTGAGTCTGTGAGTCTGTGTGTGTCTCTGTGTGTGTGTGTGTGTGTGTGC